GTGATCACCAGATCCTTGACACAAGAGAGAAAGGTACAATCAAAAAGAAACCAGAGATTCAACTCCCGCCTCCTCCCTCCACAAACCCTCCACCCTCAGAGTCTGAGCTCTCCCTCCCCCCACCACCATCGCCAGTGCTGGAGAGCCCATCACCTTCATCCCACACTACTGTCATGAGGGAGGACAGTGACCTCCCACCCCCACCTCCACCACCTCCGCCTCCCATGGAATCCATAAAATCTGAGCCTGAATTTTTCCCTCCTCCTCCTCCACCACCTCCACCTCTGCCTTGTGTGAGCAGACAAGATTTTCTTCCTCCACCTCCCTCGCAGCAAGAGCTTAATGCGATGCCTCATCCTCCCCCTCCAAAGCTGGGGAAACATACTGGCAGGCCTTTATTCAAAGTGCCCAAGCAACCAGAAACACAGAAGCAGCCCATACCAGTTAAACCCAAATGGCAGAAAAGGCAGCCAACTCCTCCGCCACCCCCACCTCCCCCTCAGCTCCTTCCTGATCAAGAAACAACAGTGTCAGCAGAACATAAAGAAGAAGCTAAAGTTCAGGAAGTGAAAAAGACTGAATCAATCAAACAGATTCAGTCTGAATCAACAGCAGTGTCGACGACAAAAATACCAAGCATCCCAGTTGTAAAACCAATGGAAAATGAAAGCCCACAGCCACCCAAAAAAGTGTTTGTCCCACCCATCAAACTGCCTCCACCTCCTGACCCTGTTCCATCTCCAAAGCCTAGACCAGCCAGCAAATTTAAAACACCTTTGATGCTTGCAGAGGAAAGGTATCATCAGCAAAGAATGGAGAAAGAGGAAATAGAGAGGAGTAAAGTCACTACTCCTACGTCGCCACCAATTAATTTACCTTCCTCTTCTGCCACTGCTGATCCTTCTGCAGCACAGAGCACTGACAAAGAAAGGACCACAGAAGCAAAAGCAAAGACTGAAGAAGCTAAAACTGTTTCCAAACAAAAAATATTGGCACAAGACTCTTCTGCCAAGAAAGCCCCTTCCCAGATCCCTCTGAGCAAGCCCTTGATCTCAGTGGTTAATAAGAAACCAGCCCCTGGATCTTCACGTATGTCCTTAGATAAAAAGTGTGTTGCTACTGAACACTCAGAAAAAATACTGTCCTCAACTGATATTGCTAAAAAGAGTGAAACCACACCGCAGACTGTCTCAGTTTCCAAGTCTCATCATGAGGCCTCAAATATCGAAGTCCAGTCATGCTCAACTGCAGCCACTTCTTCAGTCACAGAGCAGCAGCAGATTATTAAGAAGTCCAGCACCAAGTCTATCACTGCCACACACAGTGCTGTCAAGGAAAATGTAAACCTACAGAGCCAGGCTGGGGTCACATTAAAAGCTGAAGATGTAAAGAATATTAATTTGCCTCTGACACTGGAGGGAAAAATGAGTCCTTCTCAACCCACTAAAATTCCAAAGGTAACCCCAAGTTTCAAGGTGAAAACCTTTAAGTTACCAACAGAGAAGAAAGAGGAGAAAAGTGACAGTTTGGGACAAAAAGAAGCAATGAAAAGTGAATTGCATTTACAGCAAATGAAAAGTAATGTGTTGCAGAAAAGTGAAACAAATGTGAATCAGGAAAGCAGCCAGCTGACATCAGCAAGAGCAGAGATGAAAGCAGAAATGAAAGTGAAGGAGAAGAAAAGTCAGGTGGCCCCACCTGTGAAAGAAGCTGAAGTAGAGGTTCACATGAAAAAGGGAACTCAGATGCATAAGAATGAGACTGAAGTAAAACTGTCACCATCCGTTACTGTTCTCTTGCCTAAGGTGGCTAAGATAACATCTGCAGCAACTGATCAAGGACGAGGCCATATATCTGTCTCCCACAGTCAGCAGAGCATGAAGGCAGGGTACATTCAAAGACACAAGGAGGTGGCTGTGACTGAGAGTGTGGTACAGCAAGGCCTTCAGATGCAAAAGCAGGAACTAAAGCAACAAGCAGCAGAAACAACTAAAGCACAGATAAAGGCAGGAAAGTCAAAGGGTGAGCCTAAGGATGTATCAGTGAAAGTAACAGGGAAAATGGCCCATAAAGCAGAGGCTCATTCAGAAATCACAGATTTAGAGAAATGTAGTGTAACGCAGACACTGCTCGCTCAAATACAAGAGCTGGAGGGCATGCCAAGCAAAACAGACTCCAATGCTGTCAGGAGGATTATAAGTGGACTCCCTGACTGGGTGATGGGCTCAGATGAGAAAAAGACTTTAAGTGAAATTGCTAAACAGCAAAGTAAGAAAAAGCTGAAAGAGATGATGGCCTATGTGAAAAATATTGTTCAAGCAAAGCTCACATTTTTAGAGGAACACTTGACAGTCATGGAAAAGCAAGAAAAAGAACCGGTGCCACCACCAGTGCCTCCAAAACCAGACAAGAGAATTTTGAGTCGAGCAACAGCAAAGATATCAAAGATTAGTGTTGGCTCATCCAAAACTGAAAAGAAGGCGGAAGAAGAGAAAAAGCCGCTTCAAGAGATCAAAGTGCACCAGGAGCTGCGCGAGGCAGCTGATCAGAGAGTGTCCTCCCCGTTAGCAAGCATCCGCACTCCATCGCCCACTTTCATTAGCATTGAATCGAGGAGGGTAGACTCACCGCTCAGAGTGACTCCTTCTCCTCCGCCCTACAGATCTGTCGGGACACCTCCACCTCCTTCTTGTAAGTTGTACACGCCTACGTCTACCTTCAGCAGGGTCATGCCATCTCCCACCTTGAGCCGCTCAGAGAAGCTGATGAAACTGAAGGATACCACCTCCAGGCTTTCTCGTGGCATGACCCCTCCTCCTCCTGTACCAGTGCCTGAATGTTCCACAGCTGAAAGAGAGCAGTGCTCCCCTTTTCATGACAAGGAGACTCCCAGAGAGAGTAATGAGCAGGGATTGGTGGATGTCGCAGAAATGATGGACTCCGTGATGACAGTCAAGGATAAGAAGTCTTTCTTTGAGGAGGCACAGAAGACTGATGTGAACAGGACGCACATTCGGAAAGATCCTATTGATATCCCTGAACGTTTGGGGCCTGATAGTGAAGAAGGCACTCAGGCTGTAACTATAGATATTCTGAAAGAGGATCTCCCAAGAGTTGACCTGTCTAAGCTGGTAAACAAATTTGAATCTCCAAAACCAAAAGTGTACATCCGAAAAGAGCCTGTTGTCATTGCAGAGAGGCTGGGGAGTGATACAGAGGTGGCAGAGGTCAGCACACATGCCCCAAGATTTGAAGAAATCCCGACATTCAATGTTAAAGCAATAAAGGATGTGTTTGAGACAGGAGAGCATAGGTCTCAGGCAGCCCAAGAGCTACGAGAACAAATAGAAAGAAGAGAACCTGAGGCGGTGGGTCACTCTGAAACAACATCGGTCACTGAGCAGTTCTGCAGCATCGATGACTTCGGAAACACGACAAGGGGGACAAGGAGTGAGATGCATTCTGGGAGCTCCTTGACCCATGTTAACCCTCCATCCTATGCTGACGTTGTGAGAGGCAGAGTTCCAACGGTTGCCGTGCCCCCTGAGGCCTCCACTGAGGAACTGCTGAGAAACTTCCAGCAGTCTTGGGCTGAGAGTCAAGGAGCTTTCCAGAACCTGGGTTTGAGTGTCAGGGAGCAAAGGACCTCGCAGATTGTAACACACCAGCAGAAAACTGTCATGACGGGTAAACTGAGCTGTGCACCATGAGGATACTAAACAGGCATGACGGTGTGTTTAACATGTTTTGTGTGTGAAAATTTAAGGCATCAGCTGCATTGTGTAGAAAGAACAGAAGCATTAACATCAGTTTGACAATTTATGATTTCCTTTGGTGTGTTTTTTTTTTTTCTTCCTTCATTTTCTGAAACATTTCAGTTTAGGCACAAGCAGCTTCACAGCTTTTAATATTCACAGATTACACTTCGTCCTGGTTATTAATGCATCTGATGTATAGAGCTGGCAATGATGCTAACATATTGAACTAATATTTCTCTTGCCTGAGTGTGTGATGCTGTTTTTATGACCAGACATCAGAAAACCTCTTGAAAAGAAGAAAACTATACTTTAAATTCATTCTTATTTGTGTTCTTCATTTGATGATAAGACCACTTTTTATGGAGTGAATTCCACAATAAAAAAAAAAGTTTTAAAACATTCTGGGTTTTCCCCATGTTTTTGGACAACTTAAGCGCCATTCTCAGTATTTCTTAAAACCTAGGAAGTTTCACTGTGCTTATAGATGACTGCACACTGAAGAAGGCATAGCTGAAACGCCTGTGCATCTTTCCCTCTGTGCTGGTGTGTGACAGTTTGTACTAAATAAAAGGAAACATCTTAGCGATTTGGGATGTGTGCTTTGGATTTTGGTTATGCACTCCGCCCTGATCTTTTCACATGTGTGGGCAAATCAAATCTGATTTTTTCAGATCAGATCTGAGCCACTTTCATATATGGGTCTAGATCTGATTCGTATCTCTGACCATGAGAGAACTGTCAGAATGATCAGATTGGAATGCACGTGGTTTTTTCAATGTCTCACTCCTCTGCACATGCGCGTATCACCCGTCATCAGCCCCTCGCAGAAATAAACAGACCGAGCAGCTTTTTATGAAATTGCACCATTTGACCATCACACAAATGACATTGCTGTTATTATTGCACACACATGACTCACCTTTCAATTAAATCAGCACGTGTGGTAGTTGAGGAGCTCAGTGGTGTTCACACTACAGCCAGATACATGTCACTTACAAACATGAATGTCAAACATCAACATAAAGAAATCGAATCAGATAGAAAGATCGGAATGGAGAATTAAGGCCCGTAATGTGAATGTAGTGCTGGTCAGTGGTTCCCAAATTGCAGGTTGTGACTGCCAAAGTGGTCCCAAGGTGATAAAGGGGTCTTAAAAAAGGTCTAAACATTTTTTTTGCATAAAACCTAAATTAAAAGAAAATCACAGAAAATAAACTGTTACTTCCATTTTCTTTTTTCCAGAAAATTCGAATTCCAGAATCCGAACTGTGCAGGGTGTGTCGGAAGAGGGTGTACCCCATGGAATTGCTGATCGCAGACAAACAAAACTTCCATAAAAGCTGCTTTCGTTGTGAACATTGCAGAGGCAAACTAAGGTGAAGCTCTTTCACAAAGCAAAATTCATTTTATTGTTACCTTCTCCACTGTTTTAACCTTGTTTTCTTTGTTCTTTTGAATAGTCTTGGCAACTACTCCTCTCTCCATGGACGAATGTACTGCACAGCACACTACAAGCAACTGTTCAAATCCAAAGGAAATTATGATGAAGGGTTTGGACAGAAACCACACAAAGACCTATGGAATAATAAGAACCAGCAGAATTCAGCAGAAAAGACAAATATCAAATCACCATCACATGAAAAGAAAGTCATGGATTCCAGATATTCCACTGCTCAGAGCACATTAGTTAATTGGGATAATGACATAAGCACATCAGTGGATGAAAACAAAAAACCCACCAATAAGATTTCTATAGTGTGGCCTCCACAAACAGATTTTCCAAAAAAGTCCATCACTACCGAGGAGGAGTTGAAGTTGGTTAAGCCATCATGGCCCCCTAAGGAGAACTCAGCCCAGGAAAACCACCACCTAAATCAGCCTAGGAAAATTTCATTTAAAGAAACTAATATTCCTCCAGCTAAAGAGCAAAATGGACTCCAGGCAAATGACAAGGTGTTGGAGAGGGCATCTTTAACAGAGAATGTGATAAAGCCTGAAGATATTCCCGCCTCCCCTGTAGCAGTTGCTGAGGAAGTGAGTATTACTTGCACTCAAGAAACTAAAGACCCCAACAGTGGCTCAGAGGCTGGGGCACAAGTGGGTTCTGAAATGGACTCTGAAGTGCACCCTGGAGTGCAAGAGAGAGGACAAAGTGAGGGCAATGATGGCGGAGCTGTGGGAAGCAAAGTGCCAGAAAAGAATGAGGAGAAAAGTATAGAAAAGGTGGAGGAAGTGAGAGTGAAAGGACATAGCAGGCAGATAGAAAGTGCAGCAGGTGAGAAGGAAAGCCAGAAGGAGAGAGATAAAGGAAATAATGACAGCATGAGCAATGGAGAGACAGTAAAGGTCACATTAATAGATGAGGAAGCGACAGTAGAACAAACATCGAATGCAAATTCCAACAACAATAATAACAGTCAGACACTGCTTAACCATGAAATCCTGTATCGAGGGCTTCAAGAGGATGAAGACATGAAAAATCAGTCCCTCTTTTTGACAGATACAACCAGCACAATGGACTTCTTCCAGGCTGATCACTGTGGAGAACCAAACTGGATGCCAAGTGAAGTGCTGCTATTGGCACACAGGGAAGATGCCTTTGTGCCTATGGGTGCCAAATGCACTGAGGCCACAGACTCCTGTTCAGGTGCACATTTCTTTACAGAGACATCCAAAGGAACGCTCGCCTTTGAAAACAAGGCCACAAAGCCACAGATTAGCGCATCAAGCTTCCTTGAGGACATTTTTGCTGGACTAAGCACTAGTGGTTCCAGCCTGCTATCTGATTTCAAATCCACCACCTTCAGTCAATATGTCGGGGAGACGCCTCCGGTATCAGCGCTGGATGGCCTTTTGGATTTTGGGATAGAGGCAAGAGAAAGGCCAGATAAAGCGAGAGATGTGAGGGGAAAAGGTGAGAGCAGTGACTGTTTTGCCACAAACTACAGCACAGGCAGGGAGGGCACGTCTCTGTGGGCAGAGGGTTATGACACTCTGACAGTGGAGGAGCAGATCAAGAGGAACAGATACTATGAAGATGATGACAGCGACAACTCTTGAATTCAGCCCATTCAGCTTATAATTAGGCAGCCTTGACCACATGTAATTCCCTATGTCCATGGAGAGATTTAGTGCTTTTGTACTGCGTTTTAACATCATATTTCTGCTTTTTTTCAGTATCTAGCTTTGTTTGATGAGGATTGAATGCACCTGGTGTGCAAAGAAGTGGATATTTGTTCTTTTATGCTACTGTATGTATATGCATGTCTGTATTTTTGCTGACTGAGCTAACAGGGCTTTTCAAAATTTGCAATACACGCACTCACTACCAACTTAGTTTTCTTTTGAACAAATGGATGTCAGCTTTCTTTTGTGCCTAAATAAAGAGGTTTTTCCCTTTTTTCATTTCTGTTATGGCTTCTGATTGAAATAAAGACTCATGAACTCAGTATATGGCTTTTTAATCAGTAAGTGCACAGACAAGCGGGAACATTAATGGTACTTAGCTGTAGCCTTTGTGTGGCTGGCTAGTTTGATGTATAGCCTACCTAGATAAAAGAGTCCAGCTGAGATCTCTTTGGTAAAAGGCGTATTGACTTTCGCTGATAGAGCAGCCCTGTTGTAGGAGTTACAGATTTTTCCATTAGGTGGCTTTTGTCACCTGTGACAGATTTGCCCCCTTCTCAGTAACAGCTTGAACATGTGGGATAATTGGCTTCAAAGAGAATATACTGCAGACTTAATTACACCAGTGAAAAGAAATGTACTTTAGTGTTAGAAAAGTGATGGCTTTATAAATTCTGTGAGGGTCATACTACAGTACATTGTGCTGACAGTTCTTTTAAGTTGGGGAAACATTGTTACTTATTCAATAATTCAGCATCCTTCGCTGAAGTGCTGTTTGGCATCTATTTAATTAGGCAATTTTTTCCTGTAATGATTTCATTGACAATCCAACGTATATTCTATTAATTATGCCCCTGCCAAGGAATTCCAAATGCAGACAATGGCCATCTAAAATCAGAATCAGCTTTATTGGCCAGGTGTGCTGGACACACAAGGAATTTGACTCTGGTACAGCAGCTCTCAATGTGTACGTACATACTGTATCAACAAGCAAAGGAATGTGCATTAGGAAAAGAGAGAAAAATAAGAGTAAAGTACTTATAAATAGAGACCTGTATGTGTGTGTGTGTGTGTATATATATATACATATATATATATATATCTTCTGGACAGAGATCTCAGATGTTATTATTTTCGACCCATAGGCAGGATTTGGTCTCAGAATGGCTGAGTTGCCGCCTTCGCGTAAATCCCAGAGGTAAATCCCACTGAGGTGCCACTGAACACAGTACAGGCCCTGTCTGCCTACACCCCTGAGAAAGCGTTTCACTGGCGGGTGTGCAAATACAGTTTGCTCACCAAAACCTTCGTGGCATGAGGAGATGGCAGCGACATAAGCTTTTTACAGTAGACAGAGCCAGGTTTCTACCTACCAGGATCTGTAGAAAAAATCAGGACTTGAGACAGTGGGCAGGCACCAATGTTGAAAAACTGACCATTTGCAGCGCAAGACGCCATCGTGACATGAGATTGGCAGCGCGGTTCTGCTCGCCGGGGGCGTGCACAGCTCTGAGGGAGAGTGGGTTCGGATGAGCCCAGAGCAGGAGTTTCCTGCAATTTCCTGCAGCCGGCAGAATGAACACCGCCATTAAGGCTGATGTATGTGACGTATTGTAATGTCTGATCACACCACTGCGTGTCTTCCTCTCAGCACCAGTGCAGGGTGTCTCACCACCTTCAGCACCTTAACTAGTTCCAGACAGTTGAGGTGGAGAGACGGGGTGTGATCCCACCGTCCTCCCACAGCCTGTGACAGACACGTGCCTCACCAGCCGAGCAGAGGCAGAAGCTGTCTGTGAACACCGAGATGTGTGAAGTCGTTCTGCCCAGGGGAACCCCCATTGTCAGCACACTGGGAGTTCTCCAGTAGTACAGGTCTGATTGGACCAAGGGAGGAACCTTAAACGTGTGCCTTTTGTGGCGCACCGGCCAAACTGGTGCACTGTGGGGAACAACGCGCTGCAGGAGAGATGAAAGCACTTCTCACCTGGCGGGTGACAGCCTTGCTTTCATGCTAAGAGAGTCTAAGTGCACTCCCAGGTAGTCGATTGTCTGGGAGGGCACCGGAGAGCTCTTTGTTCAGTTACTGCAAAAACTAGTTGTGTCAGGTGTTGCACCTGCACCACTGTGTGAAAAAACACCAACTTGATGCCTGGCCCACGCCATTAGAATCAGATCTTCTAAATAAAAGAGGACTCTTGATTCCTCCTCTGCATAGCGGTAGTAACGCCACTTCCACGCACTTGGAAAACATGTGGGGGGCCAGTGAATAGCCAAAGGGCAGCCTGTTGTACTGGAAAAGTGCACTTCAGAAGGAGAAATGCAGAAATTTCCTGTGTTTGGGGATAAAAGGTACAGATCAACAAACATAAAACAGTTGCTGGGACGCACACACTCCAATACTTGTTTCATGGTGAGCATGTGAAACTGTCTCTGTACTATGTAGTTCTTCAGAGACAGATCGAGGATAGGTCTCATTTTGCCCAATTTTTAGGAACCCGGAAGTAGCATGAGAAGAAGCCCTCACGCTCCTGCCCCAAGTGGCACCACAGAGATACAGTAGCTGCTTTGGCTAATAGCACCTGCAGCTCCACCGTCGGCGCAGCAGAGCTTGCAGGTGAAGTCATGACAGTTTCTAGAATGCCGCTGAAAGCAGGGGGGTGCCTGGAAAAAAGCTGAGTGTGGCCGATTTGAATCAACTTGTCCATCCAGACAGGGCGTGGCTGTGGAGAAGGCTTAAAGTTAAGTGCACCCCAAGGCACAAGTGTGTGCCAGGGGAGAAACTGAGCAGTGGTGAGAAAAGCGTGTGAGAGATAGTGAGCACACAGACAGAGAACAATTGCCAGAAAACTGCTTTCATGAGTCTGGTGGTGGCCCTGAAAAGCCAGTTGTGTTTCAGCGGCAGGGTCCACAGGGGGCGTTGGCAGCGCAGCTGCGTCCTCTGTTATGGAGAGAACTCATAATATGAGTGCCCCACTCAGGCTTTTTCTTTGTCACATTGTTAGTCGCTGCACCTGCCTTGGATGCGCGTTAATGAACGTGGTCCGAGAGGCGAGCAGTGACCTGGTTCCGTGAGCTGATGAGTGACCTGCCTCCTGCCAAAAAAACATTGCCTGGGAAGCAAGATCAGGAGATGTTTGGTCCCAGCGGTGGAAAACGGCGGGAAGCTGAGTTGGCCAGGAGGGGAGTGCTCACTCCACAGCTCCATCTGTAAAAAGTCACCCATCATGTCCGATGGGGGGAAGCAGGGGCAGCTGGTGGGACAGATTAATGTCCTCGCTGACTGCTGCCTTTGATGATCTCTGGCAGAATGCGCAGCAGAGCCTTGAATGCTGGAGGCTCACTGGCGGTGGGAGCAAGCAGCTCAGCTGAAGGAAGCTCGCTCTGCTGGCATCCATGTCAACCAATGGATCAAGGGAGAACCGGGGAGCCAACGATGGCAGGGAGTGAGTCAGTGGACTCGGGCCCACTCACGGCGAGAAGTCCAGGGGGGGCACAGGCCAAGGGACCATCGCCATGGTTTGGTTAGCCTAGCCTAGCCACTGACATTATCAGGGTCCCGTCCTGATAGCTGCAAATGCATCCGCCCGGCGCTTCTCTGCTGCAGGCAAGCAAACACCAAGAGGGCAAGCTGCCTGGGGGGTGTTGTGGAGAGTCGGCTTGGCGTGTTAACATATGAAGCCCGAATCGCAGCCTGGGCACACGGTGACGGCAGCGCGGTCCTGCTGTCCGGCAGTGAGGAATGGCTTAGCCATGATAAGAGGGAATGTACCATGATGTTTCTTCTTAGACTGCTGAAGATAAAAAGGGAGCCGATCACAGGTCACAGCAGCATTTATGCCATCACAGTGGACCTGTCTGGGGACAGCCCAGTTGCAGAAGTATAACTATTACTATAAATTTCAACCTCTTATAGAGACAATGTAAATGTCATCATTCTCCTTCTTAATCCACTCTGGGGTTAGGGGTCAGGTTTTAGGAGTATAAAGGGATGGATTACATTATGACCCTGTCTTGCAGTCTGCAGGCAGATCTCTCTCACGTTATCCACTAGTAGTGCAACACATGGGAAACTCAGTGAACTGTTGCATTGTGGGTAATGTAGGCACAAGTTTTGACAATAAAAATGTATAAATGTACTACTACTGTAATGGTTTTTATCTTATAAACTTGAGTACAACAGAGCAAAATCAATGCTGTACTCCTTTGAGTTCAGCCAAAACTTGGATGAGGCTTCAGCTTTTGTTAGACAAATCAAGTGGCCTGGTGGCCTAAGGGCTGATAATAACAGCACTGCCGACACTTCCTATTACCATCATTACAATGTCACTTTTGTTTTCAGGGGGCAGTATGAACACAGAACACAGTGCCCCTGTCTTCATTAGCAGGTTTATTTTGCTTTACCTCAAGAGTGTGCTTACACAGACACAGACATTATTAGGTACACCTAGCTAACAGTAATACAGTTTATCCCAACAGTCCTGCAATAAATACTCCATGAATCTGTTTCAGAAAGGTGTTGATTCAGTTGTAGGAAGATGTATTTAGTGCTGCTGTTGACTGTACTGCTGTTATTTAGCCTTGCTGATAATTAATTGTGTGGATGCTGTAAAATCCCCACTGTTCTCATGATTATTCTGGGATCTTCCAACAGTTTTTTTGGCACTTTATGAGTCCAGCATACTTTCAGCTATACAGGAACGACACAGTGCTGGAGTGCCATCCGGTGGTCCATAAAATGCAGCGCAATTGAGACATGGCACTTCATAACCCCCCCCCCACACACACACACGTTCACAGCTACTTGTTTTACCTACTTTGTGGGGACCAATTGGAATATTTTCACATCTTAATAAGTTCAGCATACTTTCAGCTAGCAAAGCCATTCAGGTATCAAAATGTTCAGCTCTTCAAGGACATTCCTACTTGTATTTATTGCATCTCATCCTTCAGATTATTCAACAAAGAACTTCAGCCATTTCTTCTCAACTATTTCAACAAAGAACTTCAGCCATTTCTTCTCATCCTTCAGCTGTTTCAGCAATTGATTTCAGGTATTTTCAGGACGAGCTTTCAGCATATCAGCATCCACACGCATTTTCGGCAGGAAATGCATTTCTCCAGTTTAAAGTTGCTGTTAACTCACTTATCGCTCCTGGAGTGATTGCAGCAATTAGCCTACAGCTTTAAACTGTGAACATTTCTAATAAGGATGTCCCTAACAGAGTCGGTCATTCATGGCGAGGTTATCTTTGCATCCTCC